CTGCCAAATGAATGGTAGCTAAATGTGCCAATGACACCAAGATAAAGAAGTAAGTTGGTTGTCAATAAGAAGGATAGGGAGTCTGCAGGGATATAAACAGGCTTAATGAGTTGGAAAAACAAAGTAAAATCTCAGAACGTGAAATGGTCCATTTTGGGAGAAGTGATGGAAAAGCAGCATATTATCTATCTGACGTACAAAGAATTCTGGGTGCCCAGTTCATAAATGTTCACAAAATGTCAATGTAGAAACAGAAAGCAATAAGGTAGGCAAATAGACTGCTGTAATTTATTTCAAGGGGAATGGACCATAAAATAGCAATGGTTTCTTACTGTTCTACAGAGCTGTGGCGAAACTACATCTGAAGTACCACATACAGATTTGGTTAGTAAAAAATTATATAAAATTGGATTAGAAACAATTCAGAGAATGTTTACTTGACTGATATCTCGATGAGGGAATGATCTTATGAGGAACAGGTTGGACAGTATACAGTTTTGGCAAAGATCTGTAGCTTGGGTTGTGGATGAGGTTGTTGACTTGTTCATCGAGCTGGCTTGTTTTTGTTCAGACATTTTGTCACCATGCTAGGTGACATCAGTGGACCCTCCGATGAAGCGACGTTATTCTACTCTGCTTGGAATTTATACTGTCCAGTCCGTTATGGTGAGTACTGTCATTTCCGGTTTTGATCTGTATGGGTTTGTATATGGGGTCCAATTCTATATGTTTGTTGATTGAAGTATGGGTGGAGAACCATGCCTTTAGGAATTTCCGTGCGTGTCTGTGTTTGGCTTGGGCTACTATAATTACTTTGTCCCAGTTAAACTGATGGCCTTCATTGTCTGAATGTACCGATATTAAGGAGAGTTCATCATGCGGTTTTGCTGCTAGCTGATGTTCATGTATTCTGATGGCTAGTTTCCTTCCTGTCTGTCCAATGTAATGTTTGTGGCAGTCATTGCATGGTATTTTGTAAACCACGTTGGTTCTGCATGTTGTGGGAATGGGGTCTTTAATCCTTGTAATTATTTCTCGTCGAGTGGCTGTGGACCACCATGATCCCTAGTGGTCTTAGGAGTCTTGTCAGTTCCAATATGTTCTTGATGTATGTCAGTGTGGCCAGTGTGTTAGGTCGTACAGTGTCCTCCTGTTGTTGTCTGTTTTGTAGGCATCTGTGGATGAAATTGTGGGGATATCCATTTAAAGCGAGGATCTTGTATAAGTGTTCTTCCTCTTCCTGGCATAAGTCTGGAGTGTTGCAGTGTGTCCTAGCCCATTTAAATAGCATCCTAATGCAGCTTTGTTTGTGGACGTTGGGGTGGTTGCTGTGGAAGTTGAGGATTTGATCTGTATGGGTTGCTTTTCTGCAACTGAAGTTTGGAACTCCCCATTTGTCAATCGCTCTATTTTAACATTCAGAAACAGAAGCTGTTTCCCTACCAGGCACACCGTCACACAAACTGGCCAAGGACCTACAACAGAGACTGAAACACCTAGTAGACGGATCACTCCATTCTATCCACTCAACCCAAGATTTCATCGATACCCTCAAGAAAATAAAAATCAGCAAAGAGATTATGATATCTTTTGACGCCACAGCTTTATTCACATCAATTGACATCCCGCTTGCCAAAGAAAGTGGCCACATTACTATAGGAAACAGCAACACAGACCAGAAGCTCCATCAGCAAGGACAACATACTTACATTACTAGACCTCAGCCTCACCACACACTTCGTCTCTAATGGTCAAATACACAAACAGATCAACGGTACACCAATGGGGTCACCCATCTCAGCACTCATCGCAGATGTAGTCATGCAAAGACTAGAACACACCACCCTCCCTCACATTCAACCTAAACTGTGGATCCGGTACGTAGACTACACATATGTCATTATTAAATGTAATAAATTAGAAGAGACCACCACCTCATCAACAGCGTATTCACAGGAATTAAATTCACAAGGGAAGAAGAAAACAACAATCAACATCTGTTTCTGGATGTTAAAGTAGTGCAATTGACAAACGGGGAGTTCCAAACTTCAGTAGACTGAAAAGCAACCCATACAGATCAAATCCTCAATGTCCACAGCAATCACCCCAACATCCACAAACAATTAGGACACTACTTAAATGGGCCAGGGCACACTGCAACACTCCAGAATGACGCAGGAAAGAGGAATAACACTTATGTAAGATCCTCGCTTTAAATGGATAGCCCCACAACATCATCCACACATGCCTACAAAACAGACAACAGGAGGACATAGTACAACCTAACACACTGGCCACACTGTACAGACCAAGAACATATCAGATCTGACAACAAGATTCCTAAGACCATTAGGAATCGTGGTGGCACACAAGTGCACAGCCGGTCTACGACAAACACTTACAAGGATTAAAGACCCCATTCCCACAACATGCAGAACCAACGTGGTTTACAAAATACCATGCAACAACTGCCACAAATATTACATCGGACAGACAGGAAGGAAACTAGCCATCAGAATACATGAACATCAGCTAGCAGCAAAACCGCATGATGAACTCTCCTTAATATCGGTACATTCAGACAATGAAGGCCATCAGTTTAACTGGGACAAAGTAACTATAGTACCTCAAGCCAAACATAGACACGCACGGAAATTCCTAAAGGCATGGTTCTCCACCCATACTTCAATCAACAAGCATATAGAATTGGACCCCATATACAAACCCATACAGATCAAAACTGGAAATAACAGTACTCACCATAATGGGACGGACAGTATAAATCCCAAACGGAATAGAATAACGTCGCTTCATCGGAGGGTCCACTGATGATGTCACCTAGCATGGTGATGAAAGGTCTGAACAAAAACAAGCCAGCTCGGCAAGCACGTCAACAACCTGGACAGTATACAATTTGCATGGAGAGAAACTTCAGAACTCAGTATCACAAAAGAGTCTTGGTATCCTGGTACATGATCCTTAAAAATTTGAAGAGATTATGAAGCTAATGGAATGTTGGTGTTTAATGTATGGGAAATGAAATGTATATAAGGAGCTCTACTTGGCCTTGGTGAAACCACATCTAGAACACTGTGTACAGTTTTATTTCCTTATTTGAAAAAACAACATAATTGCATTTGAAGCAGCTCAAAGAAGGCTCATTCAGCTCACTCCTGGGATGAAAGTATTTATCTTACGAAAGAAGAGTGAATAGAGTCATACCACATTAGAACAGGCTCTTCAGCCCACCATGTCTATGCCAACCAACAAACACCAAACTACTAATCCAATTTACCTGCACTTGGTCCATAGCCTACTACGCCCTGGTGTTTTAAGTGCTCGTCCAAATGCTTCTTAAATGCTGTGAGAGTACCTGCCTCCACCACCTTCTCAGGCAGGTATTTCTATCATTCTCTGGGTGAGAATATTTTTTCTCAGATCTCCTCTAAACTACTGACTCCTCAACTTAAACTTATGCCCTCTGTTCTTAGACAAAGGGAAAAGATTTTCATGATCTGCCCTGACTATGCTTCTTTAGTGTACCTCAATCAGATCCTGCATCAGCTCCTCTGCTCCAAGGAAAACAATCCAAGTGAACATCGGGATGAATTTGTTTGCATCATCGTGAGTGCAATCACGTCCTTCTAACGGTGTAACAACCAGAACTGCACACAGCATTACATCTGACGGCTAACCAATAATGTCGTAACAAGACTTCCTTACTCCTATATTCTACACTCCTGCTAATGAAGGTAAGCATGCTTTTTCAACACCCTGTTTAGCTGCGTTGACATCTTCAAAGATCCATGGACTTGTACACCAAAGTCCCTTTGTTCCGTAGTACTCCTTAGGGAGCTAAGATTAATTTTGTATTCTGTTCCCTTATCAGACCTCCCAAACTGCATCACTTCAAATTTATCCAGATTAAATTCCAACTGCCATTGCTCAACCCAATTTACCAGCTGATCAATATCAGACTGCAGCCTCAGACAATCCTCCTCACAATTAACACCACTATCAATTTTCATGTCAGCTCCAAAACCTAATTATACCTTCTACATGAACATGCAAGTTGTTAACGTACATAAAGAGCAAGGGTCCCAGCACCAATCTCTGTGGTACACCACTGCTCACAGGCTTCCAATCACAGAAGTAACCCTCCACCATCAGCCTTTACTACCTAGTTGCAAGCCAACTTAGGATCTAATTTGCCAATTTGCTTTGGATGCTATGGGTTCTCTTACCTTTTGAATCTGCCTTCCATGGGTAACTTTGTGAAAGACCTTATTGAGGTCCACATAAATCACATTAACCACACTACCCTCATTAATAAATTTAGTCACATTTCTCTCTCCACTTTATAAAACCAGTAGTAAAGCTCCATCTCCCATAAGCAGAACATCACAAACTATACTTTATCCAATCAAACTGATACAGCACAGGACCAAATAAAGTAAAAGCTCCAACTACGCTATCCCCGTCAAACACTCCCAGGTCAGGGATAGAGATTGTGCCTTTACCTATTGGAGTTTAAAAGAAAATGATAGGTGATCTCACTGAAACATAAAATCCTGAGGAGACTTTATTGGGGAAGGTACCACAACCATGTTATATATTGTGTGAGATAGAGAGGGAGAAATAGGGGTCACAGTTTAACAAGAGGTCTTTCTTTAGAGACAGATGATTTCTGCCTATCAAGGCCTTGGTATTAGGTCATGCTATCTTTCCCAGAAAGCTTTGAAGTCTGTATTAATTAAACTCAATGCAGATAGTGGAGGGCAGACAGCAAAGTGAGGGATAGAACAAAACCAAATCAGCCATGATCTTGCAGAATGGTGGAACCGCCGACTAATTTCAATCTTCCACTCTGCTAACATTGGCCCCAAAAAAATTGGACTCGGGAAAACCCAACCTATGAGGTTAAGGAGCCCGGTAAACGTGGTTACTGCCAAAGGGCCGTTATATGACCGTCACCCTCGGACCCCTTGCTCAGCCGATACCTCACATGCTTGGTCTCGGCGTCCCGCGATTCATCCGAGACGACCTGCGGCTGCTGTGGCCGGCGCTGCCGCAGACCTTCCGCCTCTTTCATTGTCCTAGGTTCCGGGCTGGGCTCCGCTCGACACCGCCGCCTGAGGCCAACGGCCCAAACTGGGAGCAGCGACGCGCGCTATCTGCAACGTCACCGCGGCGCAAGTCACAACGGGACGTCGAAGGGCGCGCGCACGGCAGGAGGCAACCGCCAAACGGAAAAGGGCGGGTTTTCCTCTCACTGTCCAACTCATGGCAAGTTTACCTGTAACTGTCCAACTGATTCAGAGATAGTAGAAACTGCAGATGCTGGAGAATCCGAGACAACAAGCTGCAGAGCTGGATGAACACAGCAGGCCAAGCAACATCATAGGAGCAGAAAGGCTGACGTTTCGGGCCTAGACCTTTCATCAGAAATGCGGGAGGGGAAGGGGGTTCTGAAATTAATCGGGAGAGAGGGGGAGGCGGATAGAAGATAGGTGGAGATGTCTAGGCCCGAAATGTCAGCCTTTCTGCTCCTATAATGCTGCTTGTGTTCATCCAGCTCTGCACACTGTCCAACTGATGGCGACTTTACCTGTAACTGCCCAACTGATGGCAAGTTTACCTGTAACTGACCCCTTGATGATCAGTTTACCTGAAACTGCCTAACTGATGACGAGTTTACCTGTAACTGACCCCCTGATAGTGAGTTTACCTATAATAGTACAACTCATGGAAGTTTGCCTGTAATTGTTCCAATGATGGGAGTTTATGTGTAACTGCCCTTTTGATGGTGAGTTAACCTGTAAATGTCCATCTGATGGGGACTTATCTGTAATTGCCCCACTGATGGGTGTTTACTTACAACTGCCCTACTGATAGTGAGTTTATGTGTGACTGTCCACCTGATGGCGAGTTTACCTGTAACTGTTCCACTGGAAGTTCTGTAACTGTCCCACTGACGGGAGTTTACCTGCAACTGTCCAACCTATGGTGAGTTCACCTATAATTGGCCCACTAATGGGACTTTACCTGTAATGTCCAACTGATAGGAGTTTACCTAAACTGTCCCACTTGTGGGAAGTTCAACTCTGACTGTCCATCTGATGGGGAGTTTAGCTGAAACTGTCCCTGTGATGGGAGTTTACCTGTAACTGTCCAACTGATGGGGAGTTCACTTGTAACTGACCAACTGATGAAGGTTCACTTATAACTGTACCACTGTTGGGTAGTTCACTGTAACTGACCTAATGGGAGTTCACCTGCCTACTGATGATGAGTTCACTTTTAAAGTTTTCAAGAAGATTTGTAGCTCGGGTTGTGAATGAGGTTGTAGACTTGCTCGCCAAGCCGGTGGGTTTGTTTGCAGACGCTTCGTCACCCTGCTAGGTAACATTGTTAACACGCCTCTGGTGAAGCGTTGGTGTTCTGTCCCACTTGTTATTTATATGCCTCAGTTTGTTGGGGTGTTTGGTACCACTTCCAGTTCTGTTTCTCAGTGGTTTGTACACGGGGTCTAATTCAATGTGTTTATTGATGGAGTTCCAGTTAGAATGTCAGGCCTCCAGGAATTCCCTGGTGTGCCTTTGTTTGGCTTGTGCGATTATGGATGTGTTGTCCGAGTCAAAGTTGTTTCCCTTGTTATCTGTGTGTAGTGAGACAAGTAAAAATTGGTCATGTCTCTTGATGGCTAGTTGGTGTTCGTGTATCCGTATTGTCAGTTTTCTTCCGGTATGGCAATGTAGTGTTTCTCACAGTCCTTTTGAATACCACAGGTATTTTGAATATTACACTGGTTTTGCTGGTTTTGGGTATGGGATCCTTTATGTTCGTCAGTAGCTGTTGTAGGGTGGTTTTGTAATTTCTTTGGGGTCATTGTAATCCGGTTCCCTAACTGTGGTGTTGGGTCTATCACCATCTGTTGGTAGGTGTTGGTATCTGCAATTATGCATCAGCTTTCTCTATATAGCAGATACCAACACCTACCAACAGATGGTGATAGACCCAACACCACAGTTAGGGAACCGGATTACAACGACCCTGAAGAAAGTGCACAACGCAGGAGACATCAGCAAGATAGACTACCAAAAAATGACGCCAGAGGGATCCAACACACCCTGTTTCTACAACTGCCCCTGGTACACAAACCAGGGGTCACTCTCAGACCCATTGTCTCACTACCAGGCACACCAACATATAGACTTTCCAAAGAACCACAACAGAAATTGAAATACTTAGTTGACAAAGCTACCCACACCATCCACTCATCCCAAGAATTCCTCAACATCATCAAGGACACCAGGAAAGAAGAGGATTAGGATTAGATAATGATTCCTTCGACGTAACAGCACAGTTTACATACATAAACATTGACCTAGCCAAAGAGAATTGCCACACTACTGGACGAATCAAGTAGGTAGGCACCCCAGGACACCAACAACATCAATAAGGACACCAACATGAAACTACTAGATCTGTGCCTCACAACTCACTTCACCTTCAACAGCATATATAAATAAATCAACGGGACACCAATGGGATCCCCAATTTCAGGACTGATTGCAGAAGCAGTAACGCAAAGGTTAGAACGGACAGCGCTCCCTACTATACAACCCAAACTTTGGGTCTGATATGTAGTTGACACCTTCGTGATTATCAAACGCACAAAACCAGAAGAAACTCACCAACATATAAACAAGATCCTCACCAGGATAAAATTCATAAAAGAAAAAGAGAACAACAACCAACTACTTTCCTTGTCATAATGGTAGAACATAAAAACAATGGGGTACTCCAGACTAGCGTATATAGAAAGACCACACATATGGACCAGATACTCAATTACAGTAGCAATCACCCCAACACCCACAAACGGAGCTGCATCAGGACACTACTTAAACAAGGCACAACACATTGCAGCAACACGGAACTATGCAAAGCAGAACAGGAGCACCTATACGGAGTCTTCGAAAGGAATGGATACCCGAAAAGCACAATCTGTGGTTACCTCTGAGACAGACCACAACAGGAAGACACAACACAACCAGACTCACTGATTACCCTACCATACATCAAGGAATTTCAGAGATAACCACAAGACTACTCAGACCTCTAGGTATCAGGGTAGCTCACAAACCAACAACCACCCAGCAACAGTTACTGACGAACATAAAGGATCCCTAACCCAAAACCAGCAATACCAGTGTTTCCTGCCCATGAGCCAATTGTCTATCCATACCAATATACTACTTCCAATACCATGCATTCTTATATATTACTTAACCTTTTGTCAGGTACCTTTTCAAATGCCTGTGGAAGTCCAAATATAACACATCTACTGGTTCCCCTCTATCCATGGGGAGGTGATGGCCTAGTGGTATTATCGCTAAATTATTAGTCCAGAGACCCAGATAGTATTGTGGGGATCCGAGTTTGAATCCTGCCACTGCAGATGGTGGAATTTGAATTCAATAAAATATCTGGAATTAAGAATCTAACAATCACCACGAATCCATTGTTGATTGTCAGGAAAAACCCATCTGGTTCACTAATGTCCTTTAGGGAGGGAAACAGCCATCCTTACTGGGTCTGGACTACATATGACTCCAGACCCACAGCAATGTGGTTGACTCTCAGCTGCCCTCTGGGCAATTAGGGATAAGCGATAAATGCTGCGTAGCCAGCGACACCCTCATCCCATTAACGAATAAAGCACTCTGGATGAGACTTACTGAAAAAATGTAATAAATTACTAAGACATGATTTCCCTTTCTCAGTACTGCTGATGAGATTACAACAAGGAAAAGACAGGCTTTTCTGACTATTATTTTGACATAACTTTTCCATTTTATAATTGTGTATCAACTCTGTACAAAAGCAATGTAAAACAATACATGTTCAACAGCATATCTCCTATTAATGAGGATTTCATCTCTAATTGAGTCACTAATTGATTTTATCACTGTGCTTAGCTGGTGCATAGAATTATGAATTCCAATTTGCAGGTCCTAAGTCATGAAGGATTGTTTGTATTGAGGTATAGATGCTACTTAATGGAGTTTAAGTTTGAGAACAATGTCATTTATTTTGTATATTCAGTATGTTATTTACTTTAATGAATAATATAAGAAAAAATTGATTTATATTGACACCTTTCACTGCATTAGTCATTCCAAACCACTTTACAACCAATGTAGTATTTCTGAAGTGTATTCACTTATTGGTGAAGGGAAACGGTAATTTACCAAAACAAACACAAAGATCTAAATTAAATAAATTAAACTCTCTTTATGCACAGCAAGCTCCCTGAATCAGCAAAGCAGGACATGGTCAGCTAATTTGTTTCAAATCTTGGTGAAAAGTCATTGACCTGAAATATAACTCTCTCTCTGCAGGTGCTGCCTGGCCTGCAGAGTGTTTCCATCACTTCTTGCTTTATTATTTTAGTTGTTAATTTTGGTGTGTTTGACCACTGGCCCTATTAACTGTCTTTTCTGGCAGGTGAGCTAAGTGGCAGCTTATCTGACTGGTAAAACAGGGCAGCCACCCTGCCAGGTGGATGTTGTTTTGATCTGCTCCTGTCTTATTGATGGGTGTATATTGATAGGGTTACCTGTTAGTGTTCCATTGATGGGTAATTTCCTGCAGACTTAATTTTTAATATTCTATTGATAGGGACTTTGCTTGTCAGTTCATCCGTTATTATCCTGTTGAAGTAAGTTTACATGTCACTGTTCTATTGATGTTGAAGTTAGCCGTCAGATTATATGTTACTGTCCTACTTTTAGACTCTGTGTGTCAGTTTACATGTTATGGTTTTATTGACAATTACTTTAACTGTTAATTTACTTCTGACTCATATTGTTCAGGTGTTTATCTATTATCCTATTGATAAAGAGTTTATCCATATTTGTCTCATTAATAGAGAGTTTCACTGGATAATTGCTTCCTCATCCTGTTAATACATTAATATATTTAGTAATCACTTTTAGGGGGCAGTATCAGATTTCCCCAATCCGGGAATGTTTGAGGGTACAAATGGGGGAGCAGGGAGTTGATCGTTGAAAGCCATCCTCTGCCAAATCTTCTGACCCCTCACTGTGATTCCCAAACTGCAATTTTCCCTCACTTTTTCCTGCTGTTCCTGGTCTTCAGTGCTGCTGTGCAGCCAGCAG